TAAGAAGTTTTTATCTAATGAGAATATATAAAATAAAGTAAATCAATACTAATATCATTAAACTTTAAAGTATATAGAAATTAAATCAATTACATGAAAATATATTGAAAATTATAATAAAGTGAAAACTAAATAAATAGAATTTAATGGAGGAAATAAAGATAAGAAATTCAACATAATTAGCAGGAGAATAAATGTTTCAAATGTAAATACAATGTTAAATAAGTAAACTAGAAATAAGGACTGAAATAATACTAAGAAAAGTGCAATGTACAAATAAATGGACCAGAAAATTAGATCACAAAAGGACCAAATTAAAAATAAAATAAAAAATAGTATCAATATTAAAATATAATAATAAGAAGAAAAGTGATTGAAATGCAATAAATAAATAAAAAGTAGCTAAATAAAAAAAGAAAAAACGTGACTTTTAGTGACTGAAGTGTAAATAGGTGCCTAAATTAGGGGACCAGGACATGATTTTTCCTTTTTCAAAACCTGAACAATTACATAGCATCATAAAAATGGGAAAGTAACACAACAAGACCCATAAATTTGAAATTAAAACAAAATGACCCAAATTGGTTACCCAAACTCAAATATGCGGCCAAGTTACAGGGACCTAGACACAATTAACCCTTAAAAATAAAGACAAGCAAGGAAAAGGGAAAATAGCAGGTTTGGTCCCTACATGTGACCAAACTGCAAAAACACGGTAAAAATAGTGGACCTCAACGTGATTTTCCCCTAAACTTTCTATATAAATAACAAACTTTTCTTTATATTTAAATCCAAATCAGAAAAAAGCTCTCCCCTCTCTCATCAGTCGATCGTAGGCCAGCCGCCTCAAACACCCTCCGACCGCCGTTCGGCCACCGCACACGGCGGTCCGAAAACCCAAAATACCCAAAAAAATAAAACAAACCTAGATCTACCCACCTAGGACCTAGTTTAGGGCTTAAAACCACCAAAAACCCCTCTAAACTACCCAAAATCGGCCAAAACCCTTCGGCTTTCCCGACTCCGGTGATGCCTCTGATAACCCAGGTAAGCCTCGATCTATTACTTTTTTTTGTTTTTTGACTGCAAAATGACTTTGGTTGTTGCTGTTGTGGTTATATTTCGACTAACAAACCCATTTTTATTGTTCGGAATGAAAACTTTTATGCATGTTATTACCCCTTTTAAAGGAACACCGAAACTGGATGTTGGCTAAAAAACTAGAAAAACGACCTTCCTTTTTTTTACTCAGACCCGAAACTAATAAAACACAAAGGAATAAAAACAAAGAAAAAGCTATTCAAAATTAACAAAAAAACAGAAAAGAAATAACCTTGAAATCCTTTGTTATTTCTATGTTATTTTTACAGTGTTACATAGAGTTTTTTTTAGAACACACGAGAAAGTTTTAGTGTTTTTGCATGGTTTTTTATACCCGTTTACATAGCATTTACAAATGATTGATATTTTTTTTTCTTCTATGTTGTTTTTACAGGGGTACTGTGGAGTGTTGGGGTTGCCGACGTACTGGATTGGTCTCTGTTGGTATTGGGCAGAGAAGGGTGACTGCTGATTGGGGGATTAGGCAGCCACCTAAGGCTAGGGTTAGACCCGAATCAAGTCTAGTATTGGGCCCAGGGTTGGGTTTTTGAGGTTGGGTCTTGGGTTAGTTCTGTTGTATGTTTATGTTGGGTTGGGCTTGAGGCCCAATTGAAAAATGGTGATCATAATTAGCAATTTGGGGACTCGAACAACCGACTCGAGTATTCGATCATTTTATACAAAAACTTGACTCGAATTGTTCCCTAATTACAACTAAGGTAAAACCTAAGTACTAAATCAAATATTGTATTAGAAGACCCTAACTTAAAGACAATTTAAAAAAACAAATTGAACAAAAAACTAGAAATACAAATTTCAAATAAGAACACAATTAAATAAATTAAAATTAAGAAATAAATAGGAAATAGAAAATATCCAAGGATTAAATTGCATTATCATTAAATTACAGGGATAAAAAATAAAATAAATTAAACATGTAATAAAAGATTGAATTAAAATAAACTAAAAATAAGTAACTAAATCAAAACAAAATTAAAAAACAAGTTAGTGACCAAAATAAAAACACGCTAAAATAAGAAGGATTAAAATGTTATTTTTTATTTTAATCAGCCAAATATGCATTAATAAATAAAAATACGAAAATTACTCAATCAGGACAACAAGATTTCAAAAAAATTAAATAGTCACTGCAGGTGACCATAATGCAAAAACACGCAAAACTTTGGGGGATTTAAATGTGATTATACCAATCAATATATAACATACATGAAAAAAGGGTAAATAACTAGTTTCTTCCACACAGGTGACCAAAGTGAAAAAAACACGCTAAACTATAAGGGACTAAACAGCAAATAACCCCTAACTTTCCCTATAAAACATACTCTCTTTTTCATTTTAAACACATTTCAGAATGAAATTTAAAACTCTCTCAGTCTTCCCTTCTCTCTCTCTCGACCGGCCTTACTGAAACCTTCTCCGCCTCCTTCGACCGCCGCTCCGGCCACAGCTCATGATGGTCAGAAATCCCAAATCAAACCCAAAATAGCCCCAACCTATTTTTTGACCTCTTAAACCCATATCTAGGGTCTAAATCTCCTAACAAGGCTCCTACATACCCAAAAAAAAAACTCCTCGATGCTTCAGCTTCTCATATCTCTGATCAACACGACTATAAACGACCCTCCGTTCGGCCACCCTTCTCAGGTAACTGTTCGACTTTCTCCCTATTTGTGTTGTTGTTTTCTTTAATTTTTATTTATAAATATATATATATATTGAAACTAAAAAAAGAAAGTTTTACCTTAAAAAATTTGCTTTTCTATTGCTTCCAAAAACGATGGGAGAGGATCCATTTTACACCATGGTTTTCAAGTTTATACCTAAGATTACAGGATAAATAAAAAAAAAAACCAAACCTAATCCCTACTTGTTCCTGACATTTACTGTGTGTGATGATTTGGTCTTTAAATGCCCCGGAAACCATATAAGATCACACAAAGACTATACAAGGAAAAATTTTAAAAAAACTAACCAAATAAACTTGAATAAAATGTAGATACAAATAGATCTGACTGCATCGATAAATGAACCATAAAAAGAGATCAAGCTATTGAAAGACCATCGAAAAGCATAAATCAGAGTCGATCGGCGTGAAAAAACTATCCACGAACGCAAATCAAGTATCAAAAATCTAATCCGATAGTCCAAAGCAGGAAAATCAACATGATAATTAATAAACGTCATCTTGATCAGTCGTGACGATGTCAAATTAAACTCTGAGAAAAAGTATAAATGAAAACAACAACCAAACGACTGAAAACATACCCATAAAGACATAGAAAATGTTGTCATAAATATAGAGTTATTAAAAATTTTAAAACAAGAAAAAAGCAAAGATAAAGAAGAGAGAAAACTAGAGCTTTAGTACAAAGATGAAGAAAAAGAGAGACTAATTACAACTAAGGCTAGTGAATACCGATGATCGGATACCAACACTAAAACTAGTGCTCCATTAGTCACAAAGATGATGAAAAAGAGAAACTAGTTACAACTAAGGAAAAAGAGAGAAAACTAGAGCTTTAGTACAAAGGTTAAGTTTGTATTTGATGCACAAATTATATAAATTTATACATTATTAATAAATTATATGAGGACACATCATTAATGGTGAATAATGTGTGTTTTATAATGTGCCTGAACGTTTAGGCTGAAATTATACGGATATACAAGGGTGAAATTATTTTAGAGGGCCAAAATTTAATTATATTTTCAAAGAGTTTAAATGTAATTTTATTATTGTATTAATTTATAATTATATAATATTTAAAAAATAAAATTTGCTATTTTTAGGGGTAAAAGGTAAGTTCATCATAATATTAATTTAAAACTATCCAACTTTTAAGAGATTTTTCATATGTTGGGACACTGCTTCTCCTTAGATGCGCCCTCTCTCTCTACATGGTTTCAATTTAATGCACTTACAACATATAAAACATATAAATCTATATAGTAATGATTAGTCATGTACGACCAAGTGGTTTTAATGATTGAAAGAGTGATTGTTAGTTTTACTGGATCTGAATTCAAATACAACGATTTGCAGGATATTTAAATGTTTATTATCAAACGATTAAGAATTTATTTATTGAATCGTATGCAAATATTTTGATAAAAGTCCTTAAAAGTAATAACTAAAATTGTTCATACGTGGCATTGTACGATCAATGTATAAACTTCTATGCTAGAAAGTATCAATTATAAATCCATTTATAGAGATAAAATTTCATCAACCCTTTCTCTCTTTGTCTAATTTAAGCTTTTGTAACCACAAATACACATATATTGGGTGAACATTAATTTACAATTGATCAAGCTTTATATATTCTGAAATAAGAAATAAAACTCATAATTTACCCTTTACTATAGAAACAATGATGTAATTAGTTTACAAACTAGAAAGAAAAATACAGGCCTGTTTCTATATCCATTAGTCTGCCAAGAATAATTGATTTTTTTCCTGGAAAGCTAGATTTTGATATTCATCAAGATATTGGACATTAATCTGATTGTGAGTGTAGAGAAACCTTGATTGCATAAAATGCAATCTATGAATATGTTTGTATTTGAACTCATTATGACTCTAATAAAAAAGTGAATATTTTTTAGGTTCTAGCAGTTATGTCTACAGAGTGTATGTGTTGTCAACAGATTAAGAAAATTATAAAAAAAATATTTTCTTATAATCGAACTAAACTAATCACAAATACAAAGGATCAGATTACTGAACCAAATCTTTATTTGAATCTATCATTTTTTACTACAGATCAACTGTGTGAAGACTGGAAAAGGAAGAAAACATAAGAGAGAGGAAAAGAAAATAGAGAAAGCTGGAAAAAGAAAACATTTTCTTATTATTTGGATGTCAATCATGCATCGTCTTCATCACTAGCATACCATTTTCACTGTTTTCTCCTCTGGAAAAACAAAAAACAATCAGGTCAAGAGGGTCGGGAGTCTGGTCCTAATCGGAGCTCGAGATCCAATTCTATCTGAGATGACGAACCATCAACACCATCTCTTCCCCTGGAAACTTTACAAGGCCTTTTAGGGCTGCAATTTTTCTCTTCACTAGATTCTAATATGATCTCCGGATTCCGATAACGATCTTGAACTCGATCGAGTTCCGTGTTCGTTGTCTTCACTGTATCCGAAGAAGGTAGGTTTTCTTCTGAAGATTCCCTAAGCTTGGCCCTATCTCTTCTATGGACGTTCATATGACCTCCAAGAGCTTGAGCATTTGAGAACCCTCTTTTGCAGAAAGAACATGTGTAGGACTTGGAATGGCTTGAAACATCTTCTTCCAAGGACCAAACTGTTTGGTCGGATTTTTCCGGTTTTTGGTGTTTTGTCCCCATAATTCTTTATGTTTGAAGGAAAGGAAGAGAGGGGCAAAGGGAGAGTCAACTAGAAGGGCTTGTTTTGTGATAATTTTAATTAGTGGAATACTTGAAAACTCCTTACATGCATGAATATTCAACAACATAGTTTTTCTTTTTGGATGTCCCAACAGTAATCTCATTGACCATAACTACCATAACGTTTTATCAATAATTGAGGTTTTTACGTTTAATGTCAGATGTTTTTTTAGTCTAATATCATGATTTTGTTCTGATTAGTCTGGACCGACTAATATCGTACACTTGAATTTATCACTAATTCAAAAATATTTAAGATGTAAAATTAAAAATGGAAATAGATAATAGTTTTAAATGTATAAATTCAAATCTATCATCTATGAAAATAAAGTATAATTGAATAATAAATATTTGAAATCAAATATGTTTATTGGAAAAAATAAAATTAACTAACGAATATCCGAAAACTAATATGCATATATGACATTTGAAAAATTTTATTTTGAGAACATAATTTTTTTTATAAATTTTATTTAAAAATATTAGAAATAAAATTGATATTTATATAAAAAATAATAGACACTCACGATTAATCTTTATCTACTCTGAATTCTAATATCACAATTTAATCAACTTAGAATCAACAACAAATAATACTTAAAAAAACTAATTTAATCAAAATAACAAAATAGAAAGTGAAGACATTCATAATTTTAACTTATATTTGGATGTGAATTATTCATTACTATCCCTACATTGACATTACAATGCATAATCCTATGCGGTACAAAGTATAATTTTTTTTAAAGGAAAAAAACTTTAAAAAATATTAATTTATTTTTTGATAATATTTGAAGCAATGATGTTTTGAAATATAATTATTAAAATTAAAATTATTATATTTTATTGACAAATCACACGATATAAACGTCGAATTTATGCTACGTCGAATCACTACTATGCTTAATATTCTTGTTTACCAATTATTCAAATTGACCTAACTACTTATAACATTATAATTATATATGAATTAATAAATTATTGAATGGCTAACGAATATTGTACAACCTACCAATCTAAGGGCTATATATATTCAGGGATATATATATAGAAAAAGGTGTGTAGGGTAGTCATTTTCCTGAAAATTTAAAATTATTATATATTTTAGATTTTTAATATATTTTTTATTAAAAATATGTTTTCGTCTCTTAAAATTTTATAAGTTTGACCCCTTTTAAAGTTTTAAAATTTTATCTCCTAATATGAAATTATGCACTCGTTCCTATATATCAACCATTACATTTGGAGTTAAAACTAAATTTTTGTAGAATTCAATTTCTTTATATTAAAAGAATATTATTTTTTTTTAATTTTCATAAAATAGATAATTTGTTTATTTTATTAATATTTAAATTAAAATATTATTATATCATAAAGTTAAAAGTACCGTAGCCCTCCTAATCTCTTAATAATTTGGTCCCTAGCTTGAACCATAAACTTGCTCACATCCTAAAACAACATTTAAATCCTTAACTATATTATCTATCTTTGTGTTAACTATTGCAAAGTAAGTGATTCATTAGAACAATATTATCACAAAATAAACTCAGACCCCTAAATATATTAAAGACAGGTTAGCATCACTGTCATTTTTAAAACAAGGGATAGTTGCCGATTATTTTATCACTTTAAGAGTCGGTCTCATATTAAAATCTGTTATTTAATTTAGTGGTGAGTAGATTAGTTTAGAATGTTTGAGAATTCAAACAAAAAAATTGATAAAATATCACATGCAGGTATGCATGAGTTTTGGTTTAAATCAAATGAAGTATTGATGTGGAGTTCAAATGATGTATAGGTATTGTGCTATTTTTTAAAATGAGATCTTTAAAATATTTTATAATAAAGATTTATTTATTAAATTTAAAATTATGAAATATCTACGAGGAATTTTTATCAAAATTCATCATGGAAAACGATTAAAGATAATATCAAAATATTATTTGCAACTTTTTTGTCACTTTCCCAAGAACCAAATAGAAAGTTTGTTTTCCTTCGAATGGAAAAATTCGTTAGGACACAAAGTTTATACATGGACGTCCGTGAATGATATTTATATGTGATCCCTCAAATTTTGAGACCCTGTGATGTATCTTATGCCACACTTGTACAAAGTCGAACTTGATTGAATGTATAAAATTAGTCCCTAAAACCTAAATTTTTTTCTTCTTTCTAGCTGCTTGCTTCTTGTTTCTTGTTCTTTTCTTCTTTGTCTGGCAGACGATGACCTCAGTCTTGGTATTGGTCGTCGATTGTTTATATTTCTTGTTTTTATCTTTATTTTTTTATATTGCATCTTGTTTTTTTTCTTTCTATATGTATATTTTTTAATTTTCAATAACTTAGCCTTTATGCTACATTTTTGTTTGTCTTTATGACACGTTTTCCCCATCTTTTGGTATGTTTTCAGTTGTTCTACTATTTTTTTCGTGTTTAACTTTTTTAGGGTTAGATTTGACGACGCCTCGATTAATTAAGATATCACTTTTTTGTTATCATGTTGATCTTCCCTGACTTGGACCCTAGTATTGGATTTGGATACACAATTTACATTCAAAGATAGTTTTCTCACGACGCTTGACTCTAATTTGTAATTGTTGGTGATCTTTCAATAGTTTAATCCTCTGTTGTGATTTGTTTATCGATACAACCTGATCTGTTTGCATCTATCTTTTGTGTTAGGTATGGCTCATAAATATACCAGTAAAGAGGACAGGAGATGGAGCGGAGTGAGCGAAGCGAACGCAGCGAACATCAACTGTCCTTACAAAGAAAGTCTTGTTGTGGGGTTACAAATTATGTGGGTTGGGGGTGCGGGGGCGTAGCTCCCGCGGTACGGTACAGGGTTGATTTTGTAATTATGTACCAGGGTTTTCTATTATAAATAGAGATGTAACCTAGACCTAAAATATCATTGAATAAAAACTTCTAGCGCCGCCTAGGCACCGAGGACATAAGCACATTGCCGAACCTCGTAAAATTCTAGTGTTCTTTCGTTTTCTTTACCCGTTTTCGTCAACAATTGGTATCAGATGTCAGGAGCAAAATTCGAAGTCGCGAAATTCGATGGTCAGGGTAACTTCGGATTATGGCAAACGAGGGTGAAGGATCTATTGGCGCAGCAAGGGATCTTGAAGGCTTTGCGACCTACAAAGCCGGCGTCGATGGATGAGGAAGATTGGGAAGAATTGCAGCAGCGAGCGGCAGGAACCATACGATTATGCTTGGCGGACGAGGTCATGTATCACGTCATGCATCTATCGTCTCCAGACGAAATTTGGAGGAAGTTGGAAAGTCAGTTTATGTCCAAATCCTTAACGACAAAACTGTATCTGAAGCAGCGGCTGTATGGGCTGAAGATGCAGGACGATCACGATTTGGCGCAACACGTGAATGTCTTCAATCAAATCGTTTCTGATCTGGCTCGGCTTGATGTGAAAATTGAGGATGAAGACAGAGCGATGATTATGTTGTGTTCGTTGCCTTCCTCTTACGAACACATGGTGACTACTCTTACATATGGGAAAGAGACTATCAACGTTGAGGAGATTACTGCAGCCTTGTTGGCTCACAACCAGCGGAAGCAGAATGCAGGGGAAAGCTCTCAAGCCGATAGCTTATATGTCAAGGGTAATCGAGATCGTGGACAGAAGCCATAGAAGGCAGGGTCCGGGAAGCGGAATTCCAGATCCAAATCCAGGGATAAGAAGACGATTCACTGTTACAAGTGCAAGGAGGCGGGACATATGAAGCGAGACTGTCCGAAGTTGAAAAAGCAGACTGATGAGAAGCGTGATGGCTCATCCAAGTCTGTGAACGTGGTCGAGGATGATACTTCTGATTGCAGTGAGGGTGATATGCTTTCTATTTCAACGACACAATTGACGGATGCTTGGATTCTTGATTCTGGATGTTCTTATCACATCACGCCAAATAGGGAATGGTTTTCGACATACAGGCCGGTTAATTCTGGTTCGGTTTATTTGGGTGATGATCGATGTTGCAATATTGTTGGTATTGGTGATGTCAGAATTAAGATGCACGATGGCTCCGTTCGGACGTTGAGTGGTGTTCGACATATCCCAGACTTGAAGAAGAATTTGATTTCCTTGGGCACTTTGCACAAGAATGGTTTTATCCCTAAGGCTGACGAGGATAGGGAAATCATTCGGATTGTTAAAGGAGCATTGACTGTGATGAAAGGCAAGATGACTGCAGGGAATATCTACAGATTGTTAGGGAGTACCGTTGCAGGTGGAGTTCACTCTGTTGAGTCCTGTGATGATACGACAAAATTGTGGCATATGCGCCTTGCTCATCTTAGTGAACGTGGTATGGCAGAATTACACAAGAGAAACTTGTTGCATGGTGTCAAAAGCTGTAAGCTCGATTTTTGCAAGTATTGTGTTCTTGGTAAACAGACTAAAGTCCGTTTCAAGACTGCGAAGCACACAACTCAAGGGATTCTTGATTATGTGCATTCTGATGTATGGGGGCCTTCCACGACATCGTCTTTGGGTGGATCTAGGTACTATGTTACTTTTATTGATGATTTTTCACGGAAAGTTTGGGTGTATTTTTGAAACAAAAATCTGAAGTTTTTGAGAAGTTCAAGCTGTGGAAAGCTGAGGTAGAAAACCAAACAGGACGAAAAATCAAGTGTTTGCGGTCTGACAATGGTACGGAGTACACAGATTCACAGTTCCTACAATTCTGTAAGGAGCATGGGATTCAGAGGCATTTTACAGTGCGCAAGACACCACAACAGAATGGTGTTGCGGAACGAATGAACAGGTCGTTGAATGAAAGAGCCAGATGTTTGCGGTTGAATGCGGGGCTTCCCAAACACTTCTGGGCTGAGGCTGTTAACATGGCGTGTTACCTTATCAACAGATCGCCAAGGGCATCGCTGGCTGGGAAAGTTGCAGAAGAGGTATGGACTGGTCATGATGTTAGTTTTGATAACTTACGGATTTTTGGTTGTCCTGCT